CCATGTTTTATACCTGTTGTTAGGCAGTTGATTCTGTCAGTTGCCAGTGACACAATCCAAACTCGAATCAGTTTCGGACACAGAGAGTTTATTATTTTTGAGTAACTAAAATGTCTACTTCCCAGAGATACAGTCAACTTCAGGCATGGCTGGGGGCAAGGGCCCATAGGAGGTTGACAGAAATCTGTTTGAGTCTCTAGGCTCTGCTTGCCTTTGTGATGGTTTCATTTCCCACAAGTCCTCCCCACGAGGTTGCAAAGATGGCTTCTAGCAGCTCCAAGCTTGCAGGAACTCTGGCAGTAAGTGAGCCTTTTTTTTTCTTCCAGTAATCCCGGCAGAAGTTCTGGCTCGAGGCTCATTGGACCACTGTGAGTGATATGCACACCTGTGAACCAGTCACAGAGGTGGAGGTTGGATGATGTTAGAGGTGCAGTAAACTGATTGGCAGGCTTGAGGCTTGGTGGAGGAGGGGGCCGTGGAGTGCCCTAAACCACATGGATGGAATGGGGAAGAGGTGTGTTCCCTAAAGAAAACTGAGATTCTATCACCAGAAGCAGGAAGAATGGATGTTGGGCAGGAAAAACAACAGATGTCCCCTTCTGTGGAAGAACCCTTTTGTCAAATAAAATCTTTCTTGGAAGCCAGACATGCAAACCAAATACAAACAGTGCTGTCCTGGGGATGCCAGTGTGGGGGAGAAATGTTCAGACAGATCCTTGCTTCTTGAACATCGCCTGTGCATTTTTAATGCCACATTTCTGAAAATGCTGTCCCCTCATTTAGTAATATATGTCCTCCTCTTATTTACCTACCTCTTTACTATCAATTAAATGCTTACATACTAATTTAAAAGCCACCTTCCCATGTAGCTCTTCCCACTTTCCTCTTCCCCAGCACAGGGTTTTCTAAAGGGTATGACACAGGCACCGTTCTTTTGAAATGCTCTGAAACACATTGCATGATCAAGTATGTTTAGAAAACATCCCACTTCTCCTGGTGAACTACATGGCATGTTAGCATTTTAAAGGCTCTGAGAAGTTCTGCAGGCATCTGTTGAGCTTCATTCAACTCAGGGTTTTCCTAAAGCAATTATCCACAAAATCTGCTTTTCTCTTTACCCAGCACTGAAGGATTTGGAATTTTCTGAGAGGCATTGCCAGGGAACATTGCACCGGGCATGCTTTTCTGTGCTCACTGGTTTTATGGCTATAGAAAGAGTATTTCCCCCTTTCAGACCAGAGTCTCCTCTGGGCATCCAGGCCCTCAATGAACAAGGTTTCAGTTGAGGAAGTGGGAGCTAATACTGTGCTCTTGGAAATGACAGGAGAGCTCTTGACTTGGCTCAGATTCTTTTCAGTGCCCAGCCCAGCTGCCACCAGTGCCTTGTCCTTGCTGGCCAGTGAGTATTTTTCTAGCTGGTAGAAGAGGCCAGCTCATTGGCAACTCTGAAGAGAACCTCTTCCAAACAGCAGGAGGTGACTGTGAGGTCTGTGTTGCTCTCATAAGAATATGGCACAAAGGGTCTGGGGCAGTACCCAATGCCCAGGCCCATGGGGGGCTATCCCTCACAATGGGCTAATGGGGCCAGCCCCTGGGCTCAAGGTGGGAGCATAAGAGTCCATTGGGAGGCCCCTGCTTGGGAAGGGGGGCAGTATACACCCTACAGTCTCCTGGGAAACAGCTGCCGCCAAGGGTACTTTGTGGGCTGGGTGGAGGAAGTGGGCTGGTGCTGCTATTCTTCCTGGGGAGGAAGGAGATTTAGAGTGGGCTGTAAGAAAGAATCAGGGAGGACTCCCAGAGAGGTGGGCAGCATGACAGAGGGAAAGGAGAGGACATGGCTGGGCTCAGAGCCTGGCTTCAGGCTGCCTTTGTCACGTAGCAGCCATACATATGACTTACCCTCTCAGGACTCGGTAGCCTCATCTGTGAAATGGGGTCACTGTTTCTCCCATCACTTGGTTGTTTGTGGATGAAATGCGAAGTGATTTACATGTGTGAGGAGCTCGCTGAATCTGAGCTACCATTATTGGCCATGCCTGAGCCTTGAGCACTGTCTTCTTGGAAGGGAAGAATGAGAAAGCAGAGGTGGGGATCAATCAGTTCCCCAGGGAAGTGATTCCAAAGGGATGGGCAGGTTAGCATTTTAGTTGTACATGGACCAGAGGTACTGGTTACTAATAAACTCAGACAAGAGAAATTGTTTAAGGGGTAGATCTGGCTGGTTCTGGTGGGAGCACCCCAAAAAGCATATTGGGGAGCCCAACTTTGACTGAGTTTTCATCCTGTCTGTGGTGCCTCACTTTCTTCATCTGTGAAATGGGTGGGGTACAATGAAGCTCCTGGGATTACCCATGGCCATACCATCTGCAGGGCTAGATGAGGAGACTCAGTGCCTCTCTCGCAGAATGTAGGATTTCTGTAAAGCAGGGAGAGTAAGGGTTTGCATTCCAGCAGGCTTGGCTTGGCGTCCCGGCTTTACCCATTTAGCAGCTGTGTAACTCTAGGCCACTTACCTTTCCTCTCTGAACTTCATTTGTTCTCATCTTTACAACAGAATGACTAATGATGGTTGAAGGAGAGCCAGCGAGTAACACAGCTAATGGAGGCCTGGCTGCATGCCAGGCTTGGATAGGTGGGGTCATTTGGATGGCATGCCCATGCTCTGTTGTTTCATCCCCCTCAAGCCTGTCAGCCTCGAGGAAGCTCAGCTCTGTGCACCACGGGAAGGCATAATTGGCCACTGGTTCAATCCAGGTCAAGTCCTTTGATAGCACACTCTAGTACAAAGGACCCATGGACAGAGAGCTGTCTGGGTGGGGCCACAGCTGACAGCTTCTCAGCTACATCCTCTATAAAACCACCCAGCTGCAGCTGGAGAGAGGCACTCACTTAGTCCCCTGCAGGTAGCAAAGGGATGGGTTTTATAAGATTACAGGAGGGTGCGTAGGGAGTCATGGGCCTGGCTCCACCAGGTCTAACTGCTTCTGAGGGCTTGGACATGGGTCTTGCCCTATCTGGGCCTCTGTTTCCTCTTCTGTGAACCTGGGGTACTGGACTTAGGCTCTATTTCTTCCCCTTTTAGTTCTAGAATCTGGTTTTGCTTCTGTGATTTTAAGAGAGGACAGGAGGGGACAGTTTGATGGACATTCCAAAGGCCTCGGGTACTGATCCCAGCTCTGTGACCTTGGGCATTTATTCATGAATTCACTGCTGTGCCAGGTGCTAAAGATACTAAAGAGGACAAGACAGGACATCACTGCAGAATCAGTGAGTCCAGTGGGGGAAGGAGATGTGCAAATGGCTGCCCTTCGGGGTGGGGAGGGTTGGGGGCAGCACTAGGCACCACGTGGTGGGCCTAGAAGGCTGGGCAGGACTGGAGGGGAGGCTTTGCGGAGTCCTGGGGAGCCTGCACCTGGAGGAAGAGGTGGAGGTATGGGGGCTAGAGGAAGGCGCTGCAGGCTGAAGACACAGCTTGTGCAGAGGATGGCTGCGTGGAAGGACCCAGTGTATGTCATTATCCCCTCTGCTCCTGGGACCCCAGGAGCTCCTTCCTGGGCTTATGTTCTGTGGCATGAGAACCGCGGGGGCTTGGGTGTGAAATGAGGTGCTCCCCAGCGCTGAGCTAACAGGGAGTGTGGTGTGGCCGCACAGATGGGGTCTGGGACCAGAGTTCCTGAGCACAGATCCCAGCCCTGTGAATTTCTAGCTGCCAGGCCCTGAGTGCATTGCCTCCCTGGCTGTGCCCTTGATTCCTCTCCTGCCGGGTGGGGATGTCAGTAGTCTCCGGTTTACAGGACCCAGCAAGATAACCCGAACAGAGTGCTTAGAGCCATTTCTGGAAGGTAGTAAGTGCTTAGCAAACATTAGCTGCTCCTCCCTATTTTAAAAATGAAGAAAAATGAAGGTCTGAGGGAGTTGGCAAGCTGTCTAGAGAGACACAGCCCAGATGCTGGCCTTGTCCTCCCCCCCCCTTCCCTCCCTGCCTGGCTTTTCCCTCCCTTCCTCTCTCCCTTCTTTCCTCCCTCCCTCTAACTCTTGCACTTCATCCCCTCAACTCCTCCAGCCAGCCCCTGAAAGGCCTCCAAATGCCTGGGACCTGCTGGAAAGCTCTTTGATCTGAACAGACCCCCGGCACCTCTGGGGGCCTGGCACCCTGATTAAACCCTCTGCCCCACACTTTGGGGCCTGTGTTGAGGCCTGGGGCAGAGCCTAAGCCTGGTATCTATTCTACCACCCTCCCCTCGCAACCACTCCTTGCCTTGCCCCCTGCCCCCATGCTCAGAGCCGCTTCAGGAGGGAAAGCAGCACCTGGGATCTGTCTTCAGAGACAAGCAGCTTCCAGGCCTCCCCACAGGGCAGACTGAAGTCAGCTCCCTCCCACTGAAAATGAATGGCTCTCAAACAGCAGGGTCACCCCAGAACCCCTGCGACTGCCGGCTTCCTGCCCACCCATGGGAGGCTCTTTGGGGCCAGTTTGTGAGCCTGGTAAACACAAGCCTCCTCTCCTCCTCCATGGAGAGCCGAGAACAGTCGCCCACTCTGAACCTGAAAGCCGGTGGAGGCCTGCGCTAATGAGTGTGCAGGTTTTGCTGCCTTCGGAAATCAGGCACTAGCTCTGGGCACTGGGCAGCTGGATGATTGAAAGCCCAGTCGGGCTCCCGCCCTCCCCCACCCCCACTCTCTTTTCTGTGTGTTGTCCGCATCACTGCCCAGACCAATCTGTCTCTTCATGCTGAATTTTTTAAAGCCAAATTGGAAAAAAATTGGAAGTAGCCAGCGTGCTATTCCCCCTGGGCTCCAAATGGGCCCTCCAGTTAGGGGAACAAAATACACTGTTTTAATTTATAATAATTATTATTATCATTATCCACAACAGTAACAATACCAATGCTCCCATGCATGGGTAGGCCAATGTACAGTGCATAAAGTACTTTTCCAGCTGTGATTTCATTTGGGTCTAACCCCCTTGTGAACTTGCTCCCCTCCCACCCCTGCCCGCTTTGTCTATAATCAGAGCAGGCCAACTGCCTGGTGACTCTCAGCTGTGGCAGGAAGGCCAGTCTCAGGTTCCCAGGCCCTGCTTTTCCGTGTCCTCCCGAAGGGACCACATTAGCAACACGTTTAGCAGACGTGGCAGAGCACCTGCTCAGGGAAGGGCTCCGGACATGTCAGAAGAAGACAGGACTTGGCACTCACGGGGCTCCAGTCAGATGGTAAAGAAAAGCCAGCTAATCTCAGCCTCACACTCTAAGGGCTATGCATGGCCTTTGGGAGACTCTGGGCTCAAAAGTTGAAGTCAGCTTGGGTAACGCCTCAAAAGCCGTTTCATTAAATGTGGATCACATTTATAGACATCACAGTTTCAACCTGAAATTGAATTACAACACACATAAAGAAAAATACAAAAAGCATGAGGTTACAGCTCAATGACGGTTCTCAAACAGAACACACTCATATAACCAGCCCCAGACTAAGAAACTGAGGCCCCCCTTATTCTCCCTTCCAATCACTCCTCCGAACCACGGTGACCACCATCCCGACATGAAACAGCATAGATTAATGCTGCTGCTTTTTGTAGGTATGTGAATGGAGCCATACACACTGTGCAGTCTTTTGTGTCTGGCTTCCTTTGTTCAATGTTATGATGTGATGCTCAATAACATTGTATACAGTTGCAGATTTTTCATTTCATTGCTCTGTGATATTTCACCGTATGAAGATAGTGAAATTTAGGTATCCATTTATCATGGATGAGCGTTCGGGTGGTTTCAAGTTTTTGGTTATTATGAATAAAGCATATTATGAAAATATGTTTTTGGTTATGAAAAACAAGATTGTTTATGAACAATCTTGTACATGTGGGTTTTTTGCACGTGTGTGCACATTTCTGATGAGCAAAAACCAAGGTGTGGAAACATGGAATCATTGCATGTAAGTAAGTGCATGCAACTTTAGGAGTTGTTGCCAAACAGCTTCCCAAAGTGGTTGGACCAGTTTACATTACTGGTTTTTAGCAACTATGTGGCAGTACCTCCAAGAATCTATAGATCCTTGGATGATCTGATGGAAGCTGCGGAATTTTGCCCCAGAAATACATTCACAATTCTGCATGTGATTTCGGTAAATTCATGAACCCTGTGAACTCAACCAGTTCCAAGGATTCCTATGAGGCCTCTTGTTCTGAGCTCCATATTCTAAGGTATGTTGTCCACATTTTGATTCTGGGTTTTAAATTCTTTGACTGGGTGGAAGACTTAGAACTTAACAGGGCTGGGTGTGGTGGCTCATGTCTGTAATCCCATCTAAGCCCACGATCTGCAGAGGCTGAGGTGGGCAGATCGCTCGGAGGTTAGGAGTTCAAGACCAGCTTCGTCAACATGGCAAAACTCCAACTCTACTAAAAACACAATAAATTAGCCAGGCTTGCTGGTGCACACCTGTAGTCCCAGCTACTCAGGAGGCTGAGGTAGGAGAATCGCTTGAATCCAGGAGGCGGAGGCTGCAGTGAGCCGAAATCCCACCATTGCACCCTAGCCTGGCAACAGAGAGAGAAAAAAAGAAAGAAAGAAGTTAACAGAGCACCAGCAAAGCAGGGGCGCCAAAAACAAAACAAACAATTTTAAAGAAAGAAAAAAACTTATTTTTGAAATAATTGTATAATTTCACAGAAAGCACGGACGTATTCATCAAAGAAAACATTATAATGCTGTTGAATGTCCTTGCACATATCCAACAGATGGTAATTAATTCACTTTACATTATATATGGAAGGCACATAATCTTTTCAAGGCAAAGGCTTCTAAATACGTTCACCTGGTCCTGGTGATCCCATCGATGACACATAAACTGCATCTGATCAGGGATTGCTCCAGGAGGCACTGGGACATCTCTGTGATGAGGGGTCACTGGCTGCTAAGGGCTCCCTGTCCCATTGGATCCTCACCACACCCCTGTTAGGTGGCTGGGCTGTGTGTCACCAAGTACATGGGCAGCACAGCTCTGTAAGGAAAATGGGGGCCAAGTGGGTCAGAGAGACGCTTCTGCAGGTGGGTGGTGGCTATAGGAGCTGGGTTTCTGGTTTACAAACAGGGGCATGGAAGGAGTGGGAGTGGAAAGCTGCCTCCACCTTCCTGCAAAGCAGCATGGATGAAGAGGGAGCTCGCTAAAGGGCAGTGCTAGGATGGATGGTGGAAACCCTGTGAAGATGGGTTTCTGTTTGATGTGAGAGAGAACATCCAACTGTTCAGCTGTCTAATGGTGGAAGCCGGTGCTTGAGGGGTAATGAGATCCTTGTCCCTAGAGGCATGTAGACTGATGCCGGATGGTCACTTGACAGGGACGTTGATGAACTAAATGATCTAGGTTTCCTTCAACCCTGGGCTTGGCCATCCTCAGAATCTAGGTCTCCTGACCCCACCACGTACGCTTTCCTCCTCGCTGCTGACCCGATAGAGCTCAGATTGGACGGTGCACTGGTCCAGCCTGGGCAGCGGCAGGAGCCCGCATGAAATAACTTATGCTGCTGTCGGAGTGACAGCGTATCTGCATAAAGCATTCAAGAACTGGTCTCTGTGGATTCAGGCAAATATTTTCCATTTCATAAAATGTGGTACAATTTTACCTCTGTGTTCATTGAAAAACTGGCATGAAGGAGGAAGTGTTAATTCAATGGCCTTGTTCTCTGAGCGCTGGTGGCTGCCTGCCTTGCCAGTTTCCTTGAGGCCTCCTACCCCACTGGACCCCACTATGGGGCAGAGCTTGATGAACCCATTGCTGCTGGTTCATGGGCAGGGGTGGGTGCAGAGGATCCCTGGCCACCTGAAGGGGAAGTGGAGGGCAGAGCACCACTGGGACACTGGGAAGGAACAACTCTGTTCTGCTCCCATTTCTGCTCTGGCCCTGTCAGCCATGCCCCTCCCTTCCTCTTTGCTCCCTCTGTCCTCTGCCAGGACTAGGGCAGTAGTCTCTTCCCGGAGCTCACCTCCCCCAGTCTCTCCTTATTCTAAGCCAAGAATGCCACATACTTGGCATGGGTACCATGATGCCCCCTCCCTTGCCCCTACAGACTTCACCATCAGTCTCAGGATTCCTCCCAGAGAGGCTCTAATGAATGATTAATTTACCTGAGTGGGCAGTGATGGGGAAACTGATTTGCCAAACGTACCTCCTCCATGCTTTCAACAGAGCACCCTTTCAAAGAGCAGAGCGGAGCTCAGATGACATCATCCCTCCCTGCCTCCCCGACTCCTACTTCTCATCACAAGCATGCACGAAAATAGCTTTACAGGTTTCTCATGGTGCTTCATAGTGAAGCCAAATTCAACTGCATGGCGCTGGAAGCTTGTGTCAATTTGATCTGGTTGTGAAATCTTTTCTACACAGTCTGAGATGCTTGCTCAGTTTTCTTTTGGAAGATATGAAGAATGGTCACACCACCCTATCCAATCCCATCCAAATGCTCTGTGCTTCAGAGGCCAACGACATGCTGTGCTGTCCCATCTCCCAGTGACTGCCCAGGTGGTGTCTTGGCCTGGAGTGTCTGTCCCACGTTCTCCAGCATACAGAGATATCTGGGCTTAGTGGGATGCCTTCTTAAGCTCTCAGTGTTGTTTGCTGCATGGACATTGTTGATCTTGAAATAGGTTCTGAGCCTCAGGGTTTTCCACGAATGTCCAGTTCCTGCCCCTGCCCCAGATCAAGCGTAGTTGTAGAGGGCTGTACGGTTCAGGAGCCCAAGAAGGCCCTTAGAGTACAGCCTCTTCCTGCCAATCCAGCCTTGCTGCAAGGTCCAGACAAGCCCCTTACCTGGGAGCTTGAGCAGAGATCCCAGTTTGTGTTTAATAGAGCAGCTACAGTCAAGCTTGCAATCTGCAGATGTTAGAACACTCATTGGAGTCTCACTAGCAAGTGGACACCTCTCATTAGGGTGTCATTAGCTAGCTGCCTGATTTGCATGTCCAGATCAGGCTCAGGCTTCATGACAGCAGGGACTGTAGAAGGACCAGCAGGGCTGTGAAGACTCCTGCACATGCTTTAGTCTTGAGGGGGTCACGCAGGGGTCGATGATAAGGTGGAATTGGAGCCCTTACAATGATCACACCGCACATGACAGCACAGTCTCCCCGTCGCCCTGGGAGACCCCTGTGGTCTGCTTTCTCCCCTCCTTCATATCACACCCCACTATACCCTGTCAGTTCTTGTTCCCCATTGCATCTGCCTTTGGTTTTCTTCCCTTCATGCTGGTGTCACTGCAGAGCCAGCTGGCGGCACAGTTTCCTACCTGCCTCCATGGCCCTGGGTCTCCACTCCAGCAGGCTGTATGAGCTCTCAATGCATGGACTGGATCGTGTCATCACCCGCTAAACTCTTCAGTTGCTTCCTGTTGAACTTGAAAGGACATCCGGATTGCTTCCCATGAGGCTTGCATCCATGTCCTAGTGTGTCCCACCTCCACTGGCCCCCACGCTCCAGCCACTTTGTTCTGGGACACTCAGCATGCCCCCACCTGGGCTCTGTGCTTGTTCTTCCCTCTGCCTGGATCACCTGCCTCCCAGATCTTGTGTGGATGGTTCCTTGTCATTCAGGAGAAGGGCTGGTGGGTCTCGATGCCTGCTGTGTGCATGTATGTGTGTGTACCTGTGTGCAAGCCTGTGGCACTGGGGTGGGCAAGGGAAGAGCAAGGAATGGTGAGGCTGGAGGAGAGATCCCAGGCTGGGGATTAGAACACACAGCAGACACCTGGTGAAAAGGAGGCCATGCTGAAAGGTGGAGCTATGTGGTTGGATGGACTTGGCTTCCAGCCCCCATTCCAGTCCTAAATGGCTATGGGACCTCAGCCAAATTACTTTCCCCTCCTAGTCTCGGTTTCTCCATCTGGAATAATGAGATCCTCATCACAGCTATTCTTCAGGGTCACTATGAAGGCAGCAATAACTTAGATGAAGGATCGCAGGCAGTGCCTGGCACAGCATCAGGACTTAATAAATAGTAATGTTTTAATTTTAAGTAGAAATCAATGTAACAGAGAGGCATGAGCTAGGACACAGAAGACTAGCATTCGTGCTTCTGACTGCTGTGGAACCTTATGTAGCCAGCTGCCCCTCTCTGACTTCCACCACCACCAACATCCCACAATTTGGAGGGAATGGCTATGTTTTCTTCCACTGGCAAGTGGGGCCAGAACAGCTCTCAATAACACAAGAGGACCACAGAAGATTTATACTAGGGTTCCAGACTTAGCCTGGGAGAGCTGATAGTCTTTGTGGTGAAGATGAACATGATAAGAAGTATAGTATAATTTGGGGGGCATGGTGCCAAGAGGTGTGTGTGTGTGTGTATATATATATATATATATATATATATATATATATATATATATATAATCCTTAAGTCTGTCCTCCTAATTAGGCGTGCTTATCCTCATTTTACCAATGAGCAAAATGCCAAGACTGCTGATTTACCAAAGGCCATTAAGATAGGAATTGGAAGCATTGCTAACTGACTTTAAGATTTATGGTCTATTTTCTTTCCAGAAACCACAATATAGAGGTTCCCTGAAGCTTGCTTTCTTTCTTTTTCTTTTCTTTTTTTTTCCAATTCTTTTGGGAATATGTGAAGCTTACTTGCTGATATAGTAGCCCCTAGCCAGGTGTGGCTGTTCACATTACAGTAATTAAAATGAAATCAGAGAACAAATTCAGCTCCGCTGTCTTACCAGCTGCATCTCAAGTGCTCAATAGCCACATGTGGCTAGTGGCTGCCATATTGGAAAGTGAGGATATACAACAATTCCATCATCACAGCAAGTCTTATTGGACAATACTGCCCCAAAGATAAGAGAGCAGCATGCTGCATCTATGCAAGGCCAGGTTCTTGGCTGGGGACTTCAATGAATGCCACAGGTGGTTGCACATCACTGGTTGTAGATTACAGTGCTTAGGGACAAGCAAAACTTACCATAGGGCAGGAATGACTCCTTTTCCAAGCTATCTACTGCTCTGGTCTGCCATGTTCTCTGGAGTTCTGGAGTAGCACTGTGTTAAACTGCTTGCTTCTTGAAGTGTGGTTGACCAACAAATACCATCAACAAACCTGGGAGTTCATTAGATATGCAGAATCTCGGGTCCCACCCCAGATCTGCTGAATCATGATCTTCATTTTAACAAAATTCCCCATGTGACTCATTGCACTGGAGACGCACAGGACTACACCACACTCTGCAATGTTTACTATGGTATTTAGTGTCACCTCTTCCAGGAGACGTTTTCTAAGCTCTAGGAAATCTATGTATTTTGAACTATCCAGTCGGTCACAAGGCTCTGGTGGGGAAGTGCTTTCTTTTGAGTATAGCACAGGTTATTTATTTCTTTTAGGTTGTAAATATCTAAGGTCAAAACTAGAAGAACTTTTAGAGATAATCTAGTTCCAAGTATTCATCTCAGAGATGGGGAAACTGAACCTCAGAGAAGAAAAACAGCTTATTCAAGATCATACAGCAGTGCTGGAGCCTCCACCATGTGACATGGTATAGCGTTTCAGTGACACATGACCCTGGACAAGAGAAAAGCTCAGTGCTATAGTGGGAGGACCTGAACTGATATCCCTTTGATGCCAAATATGGGGAGTGTCTATTATTGCCCCAAGCCTGTCCAAGGAAGTGCTACTGAGCACCATGGTTGCCATTTATTGGGCACTCGCTGTGTATTGGGCACTTTCCTGGGTGTTTGTGCTTATTATTTTATTGCATTCTCATGATGATTATCGAATGTAGGCTTTGTCACTTTCTCCTCTTTAAAGGTGAGGAAACTGTGGTATACCAAAGTTGAGGAGCTCACCCAACATCACACAGCGAGCGGACAGTAAAGCCAGAATTCAAACCCAGAACATCAGGTTCCATAGCCCAGGCTCCTTCCTCCCCTGCACACTGTAGAGAATTCCCAGGTGAAACGGTTCCCTGGACGCCTGAGGCTGCCCAAGGCAAGGGAAAGACTACTGTGGAC